AATCAAGTAAGAGAGGTAGAGGAAAAATTGGGAAGAGAAATGAGAATGATGCAAGAAAATCATGAAAAACGAGTCAATAGCTTACTAAAGGAGACTCAAAAAATAGGGAAGAAAATAACACCTTAAAAAAATAGAGCAGATCAAATGGCAAAAGAGACCCAAAAAGCCAATGAGGAGAAGAATGCTTTAAAAAGCAGAACTGGTCAAATGGGAAAGGAGGTCAAAAAGCTCACTGAAGAAAATAATTCCTTAAAAATTAGAATGAAGCAAATGGAAGCTAATGAATCTATGAGAAATTAAGAAATTATAAAACAAAACCAAAAGAATAAAAAAAAAACAGAAGAGAATGTGAAATACCTCATTGAAAAAACAACTGACCTGGAAAATTGATTCAGGAGAGATCATTTAAAAATTATTGGACTACCTGATGATCAAAAAAACAGCCTAGACATCATCTTTCAGGAAGTTATCAAGGAAAACTGCCCTGGTAGTCTACAACCAGAGGATAAATTAGAAATTGAAAGAATCCATTAATCACCTTCTCAAAGAGAACCACCCCCCAAAAAAAACCTCCCAGGAATATTACAGCCAAACCCCAGAGTTTCCAGGTCAAGGAGAAAATATTGCAAGCATCCAGAAAGAAACAATTCAAGTATTGTGGAAACACAATCAGGATAATACAAGATTTAGCAACTTCTACATTAAGAGATCAGAAGGCTTGGAATATGATATTCCAGAGGTCAAAGGAGCTAGGATTAAAACTAAGAACCACCTACCCAGCAAAAGTGGGTGTAATCAGTTGGGGGGGGCAGGGATTTACATTCAGTGATATAGAGGAATTTAATGCATTCTTGAGAATCCAGAGTTAAATAAAAAAATTGACTTTCAAATACAAGTCTCAAGAGAAGCATGAAAAGATAAACAGGAAAGAGAAATCATAAGAGATACATTCCTACATGGAAAGATGATATTTATAACTCATGAGACCTTTCTCATTATTAAGGTTACTATTATTATTATTATATTATTAAGGAGGGAATATGTATATATATATACATACATACATGCATACACATACACACACATATATACACATATATACACTCACACACATATATACACATACATATACACACACACACACATATATGCACATACAGAGGTACAGGGTCAAAGAATAGAATAAATGGGGTTGGGATAGGATGGAGGGAAAAATAGTTAGTCTTTCACCACATAACTATTATTGAAGTGTTTTGTGTGACTATACATGCATAACCTGTATCGAATTGCTTGCCTTCTCAGTGAGGGTAGGTGGAGAGGGAGGAAGGGAGAGAATTTGGACCTCAAAGTTTTAAAAATGAGTGTTAAAAATTGTTTTTACATGCAACTGGGAAATAAGATACACAGGCATGGGGGGATAGAAATCTACAGGAAAGTAGAATCGGAAGGAAGAAAGAGTTGGGGGGATACAAGAGAAGGCAGATTGGAGGAAGGGATAATCAGAATGTATTCTGTCATGGGGTAGGGGGAGGGGAGAGATGAAGAGAAAATTTGGAGCTCAAAATCTTGTGGAAGTGAATGTTGAAAACTAAAAATAAATCAATAATTGAATATATATAGTTTCCAAACCTAAATAAATATGAAATTACAGAGGAACTATTATCTCCCCCATTTTTTCCTGGATCTTATTTTCTATTGAGAGGCAGTATGCATAATGGATAGAGAATGGAACTTGGAGATCTGGGTGAAATTTCACTTTTGTTCAAGTTTTTAGCTAAGAGACCCTGCATAGATTACTTAACTACTTTCAAAAATCGTAAGTTGCAGAGAAGGTGCTAGCTTTCTTTGGTAGTAATAGTTTTTTCCTCATCCAGGAGGTCCTTATAGCACTGAAATGTCTAGTGATTATATCAACTCTATATTTGTATTGTTTCATTAGCTTTTTGGCAACCACAGAACACCACTTAGGTGTTTACTTAAATAAAATTCTTAGGTCTTTTTCATATGAATTTCTTTTTTGCAGCTTTGAGGCACAGTGGATAGACTACTGAGCCTGAAATCAGTAAGACATGAGTTCAAATCTAGTCTTAGATACTGGCTATGTGACTTGGGACAAATTTCCTCAGTTGCAAAGTGGGGATAATAATAGCACCTATTTCCCATGATTTTGTGAGGATCAAATGAAATGATATTTGTAAAGAGTTTAGCACCATGCCTGGAATGTAATAAGTACTTAATAACTGTTTGTTTTCTTCCTTTGTTACCAAGCCTTTTCCATCCAACTTTTAGCTTAATTTTTGAACTTAATTATAGAACTTGATATTTATTCTGATGAAAGTTTTTAGACTTTGCCAGTCTATTATTCCAGCCTAATGAACCCTTTTAAATCCTACCTCTGCCTACCAATGGGTTATTAGTCCCTCTCACTTTTATATTATTTGGAAATTCCATGCTTTTGTTCAAGTCCCTGATAAAAATATTAAAAAAACAGTATTAAAACAGATTTGTGGCATGATGCTGAAGATTCCTCCCCAGATTTTCATTGATCTCTTACTCAACACTCTTTGGGTCTGGTTATTCAACTTGTTACAAATTCACACAACTGTATGCTATCATCCATCTCATATTTCTATATCTGATCCACAAGAATACCATGAGATGTTTGTCAGAAGTTTTAATGAAATGTAGATCTTATATCAAGTCTTTCAGTGTAATACTCTTCTAGTCTAGTGACACTGTCAGCTATGGAAAGGAAGTTATTCTAACATGATTTATTCTTAGCAAATATGTTGGCTTATAGTCATCAGTGCTTCCTTTTTTAGATGCTTACAAAGCATCCATACAATGTGTCATGGAATTTTGTGGATTCTTAAACCAGGCTCACAGATCTATACTATACAGAATCTATCTCTTCCAATTTTTGAAAATTCCCCACACCCCAATCTTTTAGCACCTCTTTTGTTTCCATGGTCCCTCAAAGACTGCTGGAAGTCTTTTAGTCTTTGAATCTGAAAAATTCTTTTAGTTCTGTGGAATGTAATTCATCTGGCCCAGATGATTTGAACTCATTTAGGTGCCATGTTATATGATTCCCCCATTTTCTCATTCATTTTCTTTTCAACTACGCTTCTTATAAACTTTCTAGTCTGAAACCCCACTATTTCAGACTACAAGAATCCTGAAACTTCTCATACAGATGTTCATGAATGAATGGGGAAGGGTTTAGAATGTGTGTGCGTATATGTGTGTATGCACATATATACATATATATATATATGTGTGTGTGTGTGTGTGTGTGTATTTATTTATCTTTTGTATTTTTATTCATTTTGTAAATAACACCTGAATTTTAAAATAAAAATTATATATGCACATATATGTATGTGTATATATGCATATATAATCAAAGATGCAGCTTCCACTAACCTTTCACACAGTGTTAATCATTTCCCCAAACCACGCATATTTTCTATATCTAAGCTAAATGGTTAAGTGCAGAGGTGTGAAACTCAGGCTGGCTTCTGAGTCTTGCCCAAACTAGGACATGATGTAATTGGGAAATGTTTAACAAAATTTAAGAAATATATTATAGCACAGATAATGTTAACTTGTTGTTTTCTAAATTAATATATGGCCTGCAAGTATCTTGTTTCTATTTGAGTTTAACATCACTGTTGTAGAGGATGGAGCACTGGTCCTAGAGTCACAAAGACCTGGGTTTGAATACTACTTAAGGACTTTGTTTATGTATGTGATCTTGTGCAATTAATCTTTCTGAATTTCCCTCAGTTTTCTATCTTTAAAATGGAAAAAAAAATGACACCTACTTTACAGGATTATATTGAGACTCAGAGGAAATAAAATATGAAAAGACTTTGACTCTTTTATTCTCTTCCTCTTCCCCTCCTTCTTCTGTATTATTACCTCAGGCAGGTTGTAGGACAGCCTGGCAAACAAAATTTCCCAAGAGACACATATGATACAGGGCAACACAGACACATATGTACAGGGAACAGCACTGACATAGACAAACTGTTTGGAGCCACACTGTTCTGCTCCAAAAAAGGTCACACCTGCTCTCCTGCTCTTTCCCTTTGTGAAGACACTAAGTCCAGTGCCTAAAGATTAGGTTCCAATGCTGAAAAACTAATCTAAAGTTTCTTGTTCTCCTAGTTTTGATCTACTGCCTGACAATAGCCACAGAGCAAGAAAAGGGCAGATGCAGCTGCTTCCTTCCTATTCCTGTAGGTGAACCCTCCTGGCCTTTTGGTTAGAGTAACAATAACCCCCATTTGTTGAGGAATACCACAGTCTCTGAAGGATTAAAGTCATGGGTCATCCAAAGGACAACAGCTTGGTACATGGTGAGAATTGTTAGCTTACCACCTTACCAAAGAAGAATTGCATGGAAAAAGTAACATAAATGATGTCGCGGGATGTTTCACTGGAAAAGCAAATGGGCTGGTCATGTGGTAAGAGTCAACATTAAGCACTGGACACTTTTTCAGTATCCAACCAATGTCAAGAAATCCAGAGGAAGAATAACAATATGTTGGGTGAGCCACCTGTGGTCAATTTACAGGAGCACAGAGTAAAACAGGATGAAAAGGAGAGAAGGCTCAAATTCATGATATCACATATTCATCATAATAACCTCTATTTGAAGGGCCTTCCTTTACCCCCATCCTTTTTCACTTCCTGGGAAGAGTGGTATGATCTGTCCTCCCTACAGGAACTTCAAGGGAAAAGGGGTCACAACTGCAAAGGAGAGGACATCTGTATCAGACTCTTGGTCAGCAACCTTCCCCCATGTTAGCTGTTTAGAATACATAAAGATATCTCCCTTGCCTCTATATTCTGTGTCAAATGTTCTCTTCTTATAAATCCTCTTTTCTGTCTTTTCTCAAAGGGACCATTTGTGCTAAAGGCTGTTCTAACAATTTCTTCTCTGCCTTTTGTTCCTTCAGTTTTCTGCCAAGGGAACCGTATTGCTTCTGCACCTTTTCCTTGCCACAATCTTTCCTCCAAGAACAGAGGTCTTGTCCTGTGAGAGTTTCTTCTCTCTCTCCTCCAGGCTTCTTATCCAATCTGTTCACTATATATGCTGCCTGGCTTTCTTCCACTTGGGTGTCACAGTCTTGGCACCTTAGAATCATAGGAACACAGATTAAGTGGAGGAAGAGCTCTGAGAAGTCATCTAGTCTAATCCCTACATTTTACAGATGAGGAAACTAACTTCCAAAGAGGTAAAGTGACTTAAAGTCACACATGCAGCAAGTGATCCCACTGCCACTACTCAAATTCAGGATTTGAATGCAATTCTCACCCTAATACAGTATTCTTCTGTCCTCCATAGATGATGTTGAGATTGGCTTTTTGATGCGATAGCAGTGCCATAATTGGTTCTTGGCACAAGCCTAAGAAGGGAAAGAATTAAAGAGGACATTATAATTTGATGCTGAAGGTGATAAGGAGCAGCTGAAGCTCATTAAACAAGGGGGTGACATGATCAGAACTGAACTTTAGGAAAATCACTTTGGCAGCTGAATGGAAGATGGATTGGAATGGGGAGAAACTTGAGTAAGGGAGAATAATTAAAAATCTATTCCAGTAGTACAAGTGACAGGTGACAAGGACTTACACTAGGGTGTTGTCTTTGTGAGTAAAGAAAAGATAACATATACAAGAGATTAGGAGATAGAAACTACAGGTTTTGATATATTGAATATATGGGGTGAGAATGAGGAGTAGAGGTTAACCTAGAAGTTGTAAACCTTGGTGATTGGGAAGATGGTGGTGACCTAGGCAGTAATGAGAAATTTAGGAAGAAGGGAAGATTTGGTGAAAAAAGATAATGAATTCTGTTTTGGACATGTTGAGTTGAAGCATACTGCCTTTTGTTTTTGTTAACCCTTAGACACCTGGCATATCCAGCTATATACAAGCTCAGGATTTTCTTGCTTACTTCTTCAGCTTATCCCTTCATGGTGATGTGAACTTTGTTGCTGAGCCTACAATCAAGTAAGGCTCCATATTGAAGCAGCTATGATACTGTAAAATGATATCACATCTAGATAGAATTGTTAATATTATTAACAAAAGTAGCATCATCTCAAGTCGGAAAAAAAAATCTCTACCTAATTTATGCATCTTGAATAAGCACCTGTTCCTTGTTGGAGATCACACAATATCACAGAATTGCATAGTTAGAAGAGAAATCAAATTAATTTCTATGTGTGCATATATATGTATATATATATATATATATATATTATTTAGTATTCTCATTCAGAAAATGCTATAAATCATTCAAATCCATTTTTTCCAACAATCTGTTCAGCCCCATTTTACCTCTTCTTTATCTTTTTTTTTGGTAGGATTTATCTACTTCTGAGAAGAAATATTGAAATTTCCTGCTATTATGTTACTATTATCATATTTTTATAATTTGCCTCTTTTATTTTAAGGATTAGATGCTATTCCATTTGTCACAAATATACTTTTAAGTATATTAAAATCTCTTGCCACTCTGGATATTATAATTTTTTGTTATTGCCTTATTTGAAATTTTTATCAGAACTTTGTTTTTTAGAATAATCTGAAGTATACTAGGTTTTGTTTCATCTCCTCGTTTTCACTCCACATATTTCTATAGGTTTCTTTATGCAATGAACTGTTGTGTTTGATTGTGTTTTTTAAAAAAATGTGTCCCATTCTTTTCCTTTTACTGAGGGAGTTTATTGTATTTTCACTTGGGTTTTCATTGATAAATATATTTTCTTTCATTAAAGTATTTTTTTAAAAAGCCTTTCCTCCTGTTAAGTTAGCCAAGTGTCTTGGTTTTACTTTGCTTTCACTAATCTGATCCCAATTTCTTCTTACAATTGCTCCATCACTCTGCAGAGTTCCTTGAGTTTGTGTTTAATGTCATTCTCTCTGTGTGTCTTAGTCTCTATCTACCTTTATTTCTCTCTGTCTCTGTTTCTTTCTCTTTGTCTTTCTCTCAATCCTCTTTCACTTTCTTAACCTTTCCTTTCCAAGTTCAGATTAAGTTGTGATGTTGAGTTCTCCCTGAACTGTGCCCCCTCCATTTTCTCAGTTTCAGTGATATAATTTTGAAACCTCTTTTCAAGAAATATTGTTTAAACTTCACTCCCTTACTTATTTCTCCATGTAGGATATTCTATAAAATAATTTCCTATTCATGGGCTTTGTGCTAACACATTTGTTCCTTATTATCTTTGATTTTCCTATTAGTTGAGAAGCCTGGGACAGGGGTGGGGGTGGAGAGAAAGTAAGATTTGCTCTTACTTGTAAATAAAAAAATTTTATTGATGTTTTTGTTCTTATATCACTTATATTTCCCAATATATCACTTACCTTACCATTCCCAGAGAACTATTCCTTGTAACAAGAATAAAAAATACAGAAAAAAACATGTCAGCAAAATTAACATTTTATACAGTGTTCTACACCTATGATCCCTCACCTGTAAAACCAGACTAGAATCGTGTTTTCTGATTTTCAAAATGTTTTCATTCTAATTTCAAAACATTTAGAGTTTTTATTATTATTTGTTATTCTTTTTTTCATTGTCATAGTCATTAAGTGTATTGTTTTCCTGGTCCTGCTTACTTATCCCCCCCCCATTTCAAAATGGCTAATAAATACCTATTTGGTGCAATTAAATACCTATTCCCTCCTTTTCTGCATCCCTTTATTTTTCTCTCTATTTTTGTTTTTTTGGAAGGGAGAATGATTTTTTTTCTCAGGAACCATGTTCCCAGCAATGAAGCAGGCAGTAGGATGTAGTGAGATGAACTCTTTAACCCAAATCCATGAAGACCCTTCATATTCTTTGCTGCTTCCCTCTTGATACTATATCGCCATCTTTCTGAAGCTAGGTCCCCTTGTCAACTCCTTTCAAAGCCATGTGTTCTAGGACTCCAACAACTGCCTTCTTCCCAGTGAAGATAGTCCCAAGAAGCACAATCTCTACTATTTCCCTAAAGTATGGAACTCTCCACAAATATACTCAAAACTGAATTTGTTGTAAGACTTCCATCTTCTTGCCTCCATGTGAATGTCCCAGGATTTTCCTCAGGATGAAGGTAACTTACAAATGTTCTTCTGTGACCCCTCCCCCAGTCCCAAGATACTACTCTGTCTTCTCCCATAGCTCCCAAGAAGTAGTGGTGGTGGGGAGAAGAGGAAGGAATAGATAACCTTAGATAACTTCTGATCCACAGCTCACATTGAGTCCTGTCCCACCTTTTCCTCAGAGCAATTTGTTCCATCCCTCCCTTTTCCCCATCCTTCTGTATTATCCTACTACCAAAGATGTGGTGGTAAAGATGAGGGAGTTGGAGGGGTTTGGTTCTGAAATATTAATTCTCATCTTCCTCTTCTCCTGGTTTTAATTTTGTCATTGTATAGTTTTTATTTCTTAGATTCTTTTACTTAAAGACAATTTGTCTTTATTTCCTCAGTGACTCTCAGACTATGTGAGCTTTTTAAAAGAGAAAAAATAAACAAAATAAAACCTCCCACACTCATAGCCTTGCATGAAAACATTAATTTCATTTCTTAGTTTTTAACTTTTGTCTGAAACAGTTTATTTTTCTTTGGTTTGACGAGTTTGCCTATTGAAATACCCTGCTCATCTCTGCTTTTTTAAGTTAAGGAATTACTCAGATGAAGTTTTTATTTCACCACCACCACCACCACTACCATGGTGGTCTTTATAATAGGGTTTCTTTTTGTTAATCACTTCTCTTTGGTATTGGATAACTTTTAGACAGACTCAGCCTCTTGTGCCCCTTCCCCTTCCCATCCATCTGTTACCTGTTTTCTCTCTTTTCTCCAGGTCACCAGGTTTGGGCAAGATCTGTGGCCATCAAGGAGTGAGAGTGACCAGCTGGGATTTTACTGCAGGAAGATTCTAAGAGGCCATTGCATCTGGAGCAATCTTTCTGTCACCACCAGCCCATACCCCACCCCTTCCACCCCTGGCCAGTGGAATTAGAGTTATCCTGGGATATTGCCAAAGGGGTAACTCCAAGCACCTAGATGATGTCTCATGCAGCAGCACCACAGGTTCTGTTCCTGTATAACCACAGACTCCGTGAGGGAAACAGCAGGAAGTAGGCTGCTGAGGTATTTTTTCTGCTATTTTTTGTGTTGACATTTCGTTTTTCCTCTTCTCGTCATAATTTTTAATGCATTGCTGAGTGACTATTGTGTTGATCTGAAATGGTGAGAGCGGAAGCTGAGCAAAGACTTCCTCTAACTTTGGCACTGTGTGCTGGCTTTGGAGTTGGAGAGTTATTGCATGTTAATGGTGATGAGGATTGGTGACTTAAAGGTAGAGCTGAAAGGGACCCTCCTGAGTCCAATATCCTTATTTTGCCTGAGGAAAAGGTGAAATGATTTGCTCAAGATTGCACAACTAGAGCATTAGATTGGGAATTCAAAAATATGGTCTCTAATCTTGGTTCTATTCCCCTTTCATTGAGTGATACTGTCCCCTCTCTTTTCCAGTCTCCTCAATTGTGAAACAATAGCAATGGTAACCTATGTTTTTACAGTGCCTTACATTTACAAAATCCTGTGTATGGGCATGGAAGGAGCAACAGCTCTAGAGTAGGTGAACCTATATTCAAATCCCTGTTTCTAATAATTATTACTTGTGTGATTTTTTTTTTGACAAGTCGTGTTACCTAACTCTTCTGGGTCTCTGTTAATTTTTTTTTTAATTACAGTAATCTTTGGCTCAAAGGGCCAATTATATGGGTCTCCCTGCTCATTGGTGAAGCTTAATTAATTAGTGCCTCATGCCTATGTGGAAAATGGGCAGAACTGGTGACAGTGAAAGTAGAGATCCAGGTTCTTCTAGTTTGCATCTTCTAGAGAGAAGATGTGGGATTCTAACCTGTCTTCAGGTCCTTGCAGGGAGAAAGATTCTAGGAAGAAGTTGACATGGAGAATATCATTCCTGTCCCAACTCCTGGCTTGCTAAATCAGAGTCTTTAGGATATTTTCCCTATGGTGAGATATGAAACTCTCTTGGTTGAGTTGAGCTATCTTGCTCCCAATGGGAGAGCTCCTTCACTCTGTATTGTTTGGTTTAGGTTCTCATATGTAACACTCTCTTTGATTTCTGTTTTGCTGTTTACTTGGATAAATGGTTTCATTACCATTTTGCTATGTGTATTCATCATGGAACTGATATCTTGTGGGAAGAGAGTTGAGCCTTGGATATATAACATGGGGAACTCCTTTCCTGTTAAGGGATAGTGATCAAGAGCATAGTTTGAGCCTGAAGCTTCCCTTTCTGGTAGGAATCAAGTCTCCCTTGGACAAAGGTGTGAGGAGGAGATGTTGGAGTTGTCAATTCTTG